TCTGTGTGGGTGAATAGATAGATTAATTTTATTTTATGATACTATTGTTAATATTAAAAATTTGAATTATCACCTAATTTTTGAATAAAAATCTTTTAAACATGATTTTTGAATTGAAAAGTTAAAATTCATGTGCGGGTGTAATTTCCTCTGAAAATAAAGTATTCGAGGCCTAAATTATTAGCAAAAATAAGCAAAGTGTTTGCTCCCTTCTCAGCCCATTCTTAACTACTGGGCCGTCTTCTAGAGCCCAGATACAAAGTTCAATCTCGAAAGTTTGCTTAACTAATGGTTCCTGAAAAATTCCCAGCTACAGCTCAACCAATCCCCCTTTCTCGGCCGTCCAATCTTCGGCCTTCTTCATTTAAATCTGTTCTTCTTTGGTTGACAAGGCCACGGCTGCACCGAGCAGACTCTGTATATCATATTACCACTCAGCATAATTTTATATTTTTATTGAGTACCCACTACCAACTCTGAGGTAATCCTGTCGATGCTCAAGCATAGGACCAATGGGTATATATATACGCTAGCGATCCTATGGGCAATGGTCTTTTGTACTTTACACATAATATTCTCACATTGAAAAAATAAATCATCCTACAAGTACGTCATTTTTGACATTGTACCATGTGACGATACATAATTAAACACACACTTTTTGAAAGAAATACAATAGAATGTATATTTAGCATAATTCTAAGAAAATATCTCCTTGCAACAAATCGATAGAATCGTTTTGATGTTGTCCAAGTAATAAAAACATTAACATCACCCACTCGAGTTTAATCGTGAACCATCATTCTTGTCACGACTATCTATCTTGTTGTCAACCATCTCTTAGTCCTTGCCTGGTTCCTTATTTTATAAAATTCATTTTCAATCATATTTATGATATCTATAACTTTTATCAACTTTTTAACCACATATTTCATTAACTTTTATTAAAATCTACTAAAAAATTGAATTTTAATTAAACTAAGTAAGGACTTAATAGTTAGTACACGTTATTCTTATTGCAACTCAGTTTTTTTATTACACCACTCAAACTAGTTGCAGATAATATTTTACGTGTTGTTCACACCTAAAGATTGTTTGCGAGAAGAATTTTATAATAGTGATTTTTTTATAGAATGTATGATTAAAAAGTAGGCTGACTTGTCAACTTCTACTTTTCCAGTTTTAGGATGTGAAATAGTTCTGTTGTGTAATTGGATTACAAATTAAATAATCATAATATATATTATGAAAAGTGCAGTGATTTTCTTGGAGAAGTCATGGCAGTATGATCATCTGTTTTAGTCGGGTTGCAAAAAACCTGAAGTAGAGAGACCAAGGTTTGGCAGGCTGAAAAGGATTTCATTTTACTGGATCTTTAGCGATGAAGGAAAAAGTTGAATTCTACTAATGACTACTCTCCCTGGTTTTCTCCGGAATTCATCGCATGTTTCATATGAAATCTCAGTTTGATCCCGTATACTAAAACCGATATCTAACAGTTGCTAGATTAGATCAACCCAGACGAATCAATATCACTTTACATGATGACTTGCGTTCATGCATATGCCTTAATCAAGTTACGTCTTTTCATTCATACTATAAAAGAATGGGAGATAGGCTAGCACGCCGCTGAATTTTGTTAGCTTTTTTTTCATTTTTAGTTCTTTGATTTTCTTAAAGTGCAGAAGAAAATAAAAACTCTGAAATTTTGAAAAAGGCCTTACATGATTAGGTTCCAACAACTTCTCTCCAAATGGAGAAAGCTTCATTAATGGTTTTACGTGAAAATGTGGTAAGATCGTTTACTCAAAATTACGGCACCTTGACATCCAGGGTGATAAAGAGGGAGAAACATAGTGAGCGTGGATCCGCTTTGATGCCAAGATATCATGATTTGAGTAGTTCGTGATCCATGTGATGATTTGAATGAATAATTCTACCACGTGTACATTTAGAACTATCCTATTGAAACTTCTTTCAAATGAATCAAACGGGTTGTTTCGAAAGAAAAAGATTTGGTACAAAATATAAATGGAGAAGATATGATGAAATCGAGATAAGAATCTAGGAAAGTTTGAGGTTCCACATGTTGGGATTAGTTATCTCGTATGTTTTGCGGCCTATGCTCATGTTAATATCATACAGCTGGAAAAAAAGATAGTGTGCCAACGCATATCCAGAATTAGAATACTTTCGCGCAATCGCACCCACCGCAAAGATTACGCAATCTCAGTATTGTGTGCTAGATATACGAGTACATTGAGCCAACAATAAACTGAATCAACTAATGTTGGACGTAACGAATTATAATACGAATATGTAACGTTGGATGTCATTTGAGTTGGTTTTGAGGTTGATGTTTTGTCCAAAACTTGGAGTTGCTCAATGGTTGTTTTCAAACTACTTTATTTTGAGAAATGTTATTCATCCCCACTGGAGATGCATCCACAGTCTATGTGGATGTAAATGATTGGTTAAATGATATGTGAAATTAAATAAGTCATATTTAATTTCACCTATTATTTAACCAATCATTTACATCCACATAGACTGGGGATGCATCCTCATTGGAGATGAATAACATTTTTCCTTTATTTTACATACATGTTTTCGGATATCATACAGTATAAGATTAATTCTTCTCTAAGACTATAATCATAATCATTTTTCGTCTCATAGGATGGATTGTCACAATAAGTTATAATTCTTGACTTTGGTCACAAAAGTATTTTTTAACAATCATTATTTCAGTTAGTAAAGACATCATTTGTGAGTGAATTAAATTAGATTCTCACGGAATATATGAAAATATTGTATTATATTATATTTTATTTGAATTGGACTTGTTAAAATTAAAGAAAAGACAAAAAAGAATACTAGATTTCAAAGAAATTCCATTTAAATACAATGCAAATTCAACCTTTAAGTTGTTCTTAACCAAGGGATTTCCATTTTCTGAAAGAGGAAAAAGGAAAATAAACTCGTGTGCTGACTACAAACATGCGTATGTACTAATATGAATGCGACACCTGCCACTATCTTAAAAACTCGCCTCTCATTCGTAAGTCTTTTAATAATTGTGCAGAAAACTCATTTTACACGTGCCTTTTATTAAAAAATTTCATATTCTTCCCTTTTTTTCTCCATCCCACACCACCCCACCCCACCCACGACCTCAGCCTTTTATGTGTCAGTTTCGTGTTTCAACAAGTATTTGTATTGAAGACGTTGCTTTTTTCTGGACCTCAAATCTCAATCAACCCGCTCAACATATATACATACGCATATCTATACTCTTTTTTCCATCTTGCTTTCTTACTCAACTGATCGTACATATATATATATAGCTGTACACTTGAAATTATGAAAAGAAATTGTGATTTTAAACTAGGGCTTTCATCACCTCGTTATAGGCAGTGCCACCCTCAGTAAGTGTGTGTGTGTCATATGTGTATATGTATGTATTGTGTAATTTTGTTTATGGGGATGCAGTGTGTCTGATTCTGAGTTATTAAATTGAAGGTTGCGTATGAAGAATAGTGGGAATAATCAATTGCTGACACTTTTCTGCAATGGAAAAGTTGTTGTTTTTGATGTTACAGAGTTTCAGGTATAAATTTATTTCAAATTGTTACTGAGAATTCATGCAAATAGGATTGTGGATTGAACTTCTTACCATTTTTAATTATGCATATCTATCTAATGAAACAACTTTGGTCGTCCTAGTTTCGAGCTATAGAAGTAGCATATTAATACCACTATTGATATTAATGCAGGCTAGAGCCATTATATTGCTTGCAAGCAGAGAAATGGAAGGGAGATCAAACACGAAACCAGGTTTGGATTCATTGTTATTACCCTTTTTACAGTCGCCATTGAATAGTCTTTCCATGAAGAAATCACTGCAAAGATTCCTCCAGAAGAGAAAGACACGGATAGAAGCAGCATCCCCTTATCATCATCATCTTTAGTCGTCCAATCAAGAGGAGAAATTCTTCATATTGTAATGAGATACAATAGATATATTGTAGATAATATGTTATGGTGAAGAATGAAGATGATAGTCTATGTAGTTTAATTAATTTATTCTTATTTTTTCCGTTATTCTAGCAATGAAAATGACCCCACTCCAAAGTTGTTGGAAACAAGAATTTTGGTTTGTTGTTGTATTTTACAATTAGTCACTTTATGTCATTACTTGGTATCTTGATGTTAAGATAGTCAGTGCGACTTGTGTCATAGTAAAATAAATACTGCCCCTCGAGGCACATCCCAACTGGCAAAGAACGGGGCTCTTAGTTGCTGGCAGTTCAGAGGTCGCGAGTCTAATTCGTAGGGCTCTTGGAAGGTAGAATCTCTTCTGGAAGGCAGGATTTATCCTGGAAGGCAAGAGTTCTCCTGAAAGGCAATGTGCAACATGAATTGACTCACTCTACACTTTGGCAGATCAGTGGAGGGAACTCTTGAACCCTTGCCAGTTTGGGACACATCTCACGGTTTACCTGACTGCGTCTTAAGGGGACAAGGCGTAGACCCCAGGATTAGTTGTCGAAGGTGGACACTTGGATATCAAAATAATAATAATAATAATAATAATAATAATAATAATAAATACTATGTAGGATCAATCTCAACAGTATTTTGTACCAACAAGAGTATAAAATTTGTCGACATTCGTAATAAGAGTTGAATAAAATTCAAACACGCATTTAGTATGTAAATCATTCATTATTTGGAAAATACTCATAATCCCTATTTGGTTTGAACAAATATTCTCGGAAAAGTCTATACCCATCACGAATCTCTGTAAGTCAGTTACGCTTTTGGTTATGTTGCAGTTACCACCCTATTCCCGTTGTTTTCTCTCAAGCAAAAGGATCATCTATCTGGGATCCAGAATGCATAAAGTATATAGACTTCCTCTCAGCTTATTCTGCTGTCAATCAGGTAAGGAGGTATACCGTATATTGTTGGATTGTCTTAATTGATTTCATACTCATTTTTGTCTTGTTATATTATCCATTTCGTATCCTTGTCTATTGGAAGACTGACAGCATGAATCCGATTCTTCAACCTGTTTTCTTTGAAGCCTTCTGTTTGACGGCTTAAAAGTTGTCCTTTTGTTTTGCCAGTTCTTGTTCGTGTTCGAGCTCATAGAATGCAGATTTTTACTGGTTTATTTGTCATCACTCTTCATGGAGGCAGAGAAGGGATCACTTGTATTATACTTTATTATGTGATAGGTATAGTTTCTATTTTAAACCAAAGGACAGATTGTTTAAACTTAATCTCTTGTTGCTGGGGCATTGTCATCCTAAAATAATGAAAGCATTGGTAGAACAGGCTTAAAGACTTACTCTCAGCTCTAGAGCCTTCTATAATGACAGATTTCCAGTATTTGCAGAGAGACTGACCAGCATGTTTGGCTATGATATGGTGCTGCCAATGAATGCAGGTGCTGAAGGGTAGAAACAGCATTGAAGTTAGCAAGGAAATGGGGATACCTGAAGAAAGGAATACCAAGAGATGAGGTATCAAACTTGTTTTCATCATAGACCGTGATGCTTTCCCAAATTACTTATAGTTTGTTTTTGTATCTTTCAGCATAAACATTTGATGTAGTATAATACAGAAACTACTGCTTGGTTTCGGCCACTAGATTTGTTGGTCATTGGTCCTAGCTTGTTGGGGATTTGTAGATTAAGAGTAATGTAATGATTTCATGATTGGTTGAGTAATAGTTAGCAGTAAATAAGAAGTGGAAGTTTCTTAGTTTTGCTGGTTTCATTTGTGATTAGTTGTTATTGTTATAATACCTTTCTGGCTTGGAAAGAAGGAAAAAACCGGGGGGTGGGGGGTGCATAAACATTTTTGAATTAGTTTTCATTCTTTCGTGATGCATAGATAACAAGAAATGTTGATACGAATATATTCTGATTTTAACTTTTGGTGAGGAAAAGGCAACACGCACAGATGGCAAAGATTAAAAACAAAGAAGTTAAAATCTTGTCTAATGTCATGTCCACTCGTTTATTAGGTTGGTTCATTTTTAGGAAATTATATCTTTGGCTATGACGTGAATATATTTCAATCGTTTGGGGATCTTATCAATGAATTGATCTCATGAGCAGTTGTTTCCGAGTCGAGGTTGTTTTGTTTTAATGAATTCTTGTGGAATATTCCTTCACTCTAGAGTATTCACAATTCCAACCACTGGTAGGAACGCTATAGTGTCATTGTCCGAGAATAATTCATGTGCAGAATTTTGTCCTTTTGGTTGGACTGGAAACGTTAGTCCAAAAGTCATGACTAATTATGTTTACCCATTGTTTTAGATTAGATTGTAGTCTTATTCTATGATGATTAGATTCAAAGTACTCAGTTCACTTTAGAAATCTGCAGAAACTAGCGTAAAACATCCTACTTCTGAATGCATGCTGAGGGTCACTTGTTGGAATTATAATATTTGTCACCCCATGTTTGCAAGTATGAATATTCAAATCATATTGGACCATGCTATCCGTTCGATTGCAGATCGACTTAATGTCTTCTTCATAAAAGATTCTTGGAGGTCGGTTTTTTGTGTATTAAAAGCCTCTTTTTTATGGGCAAAAGGCGTAACTCTCACGTGAACCACTATAAATCTGTAGTTGTTTGTTAATTTTATTATTGCTCTTGTAAGTAAGAATTGAGGCTTAATATGTGAAAAATACTTTTGATTCACTTGTCCTGATTAATATATTTAGCTGCCTCTATATTCAATGATTTGTTCTTACGTATTTGAAAAGGCTAGGTCTATGCCCACATGCTAAGAATCAATTTATGGGTCAATTAGATTTTGGTGCCTTTGGTACAATGGATTGGATGGTAATAAGGAAGAAAAACAGAGTATGTCTATTGTACCATTCAATCTTATCTAGCATGGTTGGGCAAACATGCTCTATTTTTTTCAAATTTTTTTTCGGCCAATTTTGGATGCAAGTGGTACACACTGCTCTAAACGTGTCTTCTCCTCCTTGTGTTAATACCTAAGATTGCCTTTTTATGCCTTCAATAATTAAAAGTTGATAATGACTTTTTAGGGCTTAGTGGTTCATAGCTTATAAAATATAAACAAACCATTTTCAATCGCCCATATCTATCTGAGTAATGCTATTCATCCCCACTGAGGATAAAAACACAGTTTAGATGATTTTAAATGATAAGTTAAATGAAATGTGAAATTAAATGACTTATTTGATTTCACCTATCATTTGAAGTCACATTAACGTCACGTAGACTGTGCTTTCATTCCCACTGAGGATGAATAACATTACTCTATTGTAAAGATAGACCCCTTGGCTTGGAGGGTATGTGGGGTTTGAGAGGAGCATATTGTCTCCCTTTGATTGGCATTAATTGATTGTGGAGTGGCCTATCATTTCACATTATAAATTTCTGAAGTCATTTTCAAGATTTTGTAATTGCCCCTCTTTGGTTAAATCAAACAAGGACAAAGTGTTTAAAATTAGGTCAAGCTCAAGAAATGTAGTAGAGATTGATCCACCATTACATGGAGCTTGGCATAGAGCAAAACAAGACTGAATTGGAATTAAAATGAAACAAAAAGCATGCTCACCGATAAAGTAGCACAACTAATTGCTGTGTTGAGCTCAATCCCATTGTATTGTTAGTGTACAACAAGTTTGACACTCCATTATGGGTCTAAATCTGAGCCATTAATTGTTTAAAGCGTTATTAAAATCAACATATAAAAAGTTGTAGTTTCATGACAGTGCCAAACTTGATTTACATGTAACAAGATTGATAATATTAATATGAATAATTATATTTGTACACAGTCACGTCAGCCCTGGACGTGAAGCAAATATCTATTAATATACTTTAGACTACAACAGGACATGATTAATTATGTGAACTTAGGAATGAAAAATTGAATGTTACTTGCGTTAACCAGCTTGACGGGTAGTCAATATATCTGTCACGTAACTTATCAGGTTTCACTTATATAAACACACTCACTACCTTTTATCTAGGTACAAGTCAATTACTATGCAATCGGAACCCTTACAATAATCAAAATACCAATTTGATTGTTGTAGTGTAGAATCTACCACTACTTTCTTTATTGGTCAAGTTCACCAAGAAATTATATTTTGCAATTATTTTTCAATCTCATACAACTCAACACCCCCTTCTCAGTCATTTCACCAAGAAAGAAAAAATATATATATTAAAGACATGGATGGATTTTTTTGTCTTTTTAAGAAAATAGTGTACCCTTTTTAAAAGGGTTCATTTCACAAATAGTCATTGAAATTACAGTAAAATAACAAAATGACCACTGAAGTTCGAAACTTGCATAAACGATCACTGAACTTTCAAGCACTTTCAAAAATGGTCACTAAGGTAAGTTTTTGGACTTTTTTGTTCTAATTGAAACCTAAATTAACAAAACACGGCCCGTTCAAAATTGGAGGACCTGAAATGCAATTCCATTTTTAAAAAACACCAAATTGACGTAACCTGTTGTTGCCTGTTTTGCTTCTTTTTTTTTTTTTCCAACCATTATAAATAACTGATTTTGCTTATTTCTCCTTAGAATTTAGCAATTTCTCCTTAGAATTTATTCTAAAAATACTAGAATTCATATTCCAGTTTTATAAAACACAAATTTCACCAAAACATACAACAATTTCACCATAGCAATTTGGATAATGCTGGAAGTACAAGAGGAACTGTACAGGATTTTAAAGTTTGATTACGTAGCAGTTTTTGTAGATAGGAAGACATTGTTTTCTTCTTAGGATTTGATCTACTGATTAATAGAAACACTTGAGTATTCTATTGAAAGATGGACATTTTAAGCACGCATAAGCCACTACAAAAGATTAAATTTTTATACAAATTTGAAAACCAAATGGAAATTACCGGCAGGTAAATCTTTTTTATCTCTACGGTTTCTCCTGCCACCGTGCCGCCAACGCCGCCCATCGTTCTCCTCTTTCGTCGCTTCTTCCTGGACATGATTTTTCAAAAACCTCGGCGGCCCTACAACCTGCGAAAAAAAAAAATCCCACAAAAAGCTAATAAAATTAAGCAAATCCCCACCANCCCACAAAAAGCAAATAAAATTAAGCAAGTCCCCACCAAAAATAAAAAAAATAAAAAATTAATTAAAATAATAATAATAATAATAATAATTAACACAACTAGCTCATAATTTTTGGGATTTACTTCGGAGAATGCATCAAAAGCAGATGCGAGGGAAGAAGAGGAGGATGGATTTGGATCGAACAAGGGTTTGTACGAAGGATTCTTTAAAACGGCGCAGTTCTCTTCATCGTCCAAGGAGTTACGATATTGTGGGTCTCCTAGTTCTCCATCTCCTCCTCCTTCTTCAGCTGAGGAGTAGCTTTGCAGCAGGGACAAGCTTATAAAAAGGGAATTGCACTTCAGGTCCTCCAATTTTGAAGGGGTCGTGTTTTGTTAATTTATGTTTCAATTAGAATAAGAAAGTCCAAAAACTTACCTTAATGACCATTTTTGAAAGTGTCTGAAAGTTGAGTGACCTCAGGGACACCAACGGTCGAGGACCACCTGGCCTAGGTCCCTCTGCACATGGCGCACCTAGCCTAGGTTTGGGGCTTGGTCAATTTCGTCTTCAAGTTGCTGAATTTGTGGGAGAAATTCAGGCAGTCTGCGAAAAATTCGAGTCTGCTAATTTTGATGAATCAATGCAGGTGCAAATGGTTAATTCAATGAAGGAAACATCTATATATAGGTCAGTAGCATCATGGGTAACCAATCAATTGACCCAATTAAGAATCAAAACTCTGGATTGATTTTGTCAAGTGAAGTTGAGCGCAAAGGAGTTCTGTGTTATGAAATTGATGATAGTTTTGTGTGTATTGTCCCAAACTCTACCATTCCTACCTCTATTGAAGGGTCATAAGATCATGGGTCTACTGCTAATTGAAAGATTGAACGATAATCGAGCCCCAATTTTGCTTCATTCCCCAAGATTGAATGATCAATCGAGCCCCAAAATGAAGCAAAACAGGCAACATGATGCTCAGACGTCAATTTAGTGTTTTATAAAAAAAGAAATTTCGCTTCAGGTCCTCTAATTTTGAAGGGCCGTGTTTTGTTAACTTAGGTTTCAATTAGAACAAAAAGTCCGAAAACTTACCTCAGTGACCATTTTTTAAAGTGCCTGAAAATTGAGTAACCGTTTATGCAAGTTTCTAACTTCAGTGACAATTTTATTATTTTGCTGTAACTTCAGTGTCCATTTGTGAAATTAAAGACATGGATGGATTTTGTTGTCTTTGTAAGAAAATAGTGTACCGTTTTTAAAATAGTGTAATAAGAAATTACACTCCAAAGTGTAAACTCAAGCTCTAATTTCTCGATCTCCTTTCCCATTGCCCGGCTCACATTTCATCTACGCCACCGTTTTGCTCCGCCGCCGCACGAAACAATCAATAATCTTTTTTCTATTCTTCAGAGCTGAGATCTTTGTCTATAAAATTAAGAATCTCTCCACACCAATGTTTTTTCTCAGATCCATAATTTCTCACATAATCCACTGATAATTACACACCTACAGGTGTATTATATACATTTATACGTACGTATATATATATAGGCGGGAGCTGTGAGAATGGGTTCGATGCGGCTAGATCTGAGTGGCAGGATTTATCCAGAACCGATCGATCACTTCGACAGGCTACCGGATTCTCTTGTTCTCTTGATCTTTAATAGAATTGGAGATGTCAAGACTTTGGGCCGATGCGGCGTCGTTTCTAGGCGATTCCACTCGCTTGTTCCCCAGGTCGATAATGTCATCGTCCGTGTTGATTGCGTCATCTCCGATGAAGATCCTGCATCCTCCGCTGCTTCCTCGTCTGGCTCCTCTGCCGCCGATAAGTCCCGCAACCCTGCCTCTTCTCTTTTTCGCTTCCTCTTCTCTGGTCTCTTTAAGCCGCTTCAGTCTTTAACCCAGCTTATTACTTCTCCACCCCGCCGCCACTCACTTTCATCAAATTCGGAAGATTTGAACCTTACTTCCAACCTGAACGGCGTGACTCACCATTCCCCTACCCAGGTCTTAAAGAATTTTAACGAAATTAAGCTTCTCAGAATTGAATTACCTAGCGGGGAGCTTGGCATTGATGAAGGCACTTTGCTCAAGTGGAAGGCGGATTTTGGGTCCACACTGGATAATTGCGTCATTCTTGGAGCCTCCAGTGTAAGTCAGACTGCAAAAAGTTTCGAATTTTCTGGTGCTTGTACTGTTAATAATGATACTAACGGGAATAATAATGGAGCTGAAAATGATAATGGGAGCATACCTGAAACATTTTACACAAATGGGGGCTTGAAATTACGCGTGGTGTGGACAATAAGCTCCTTGATTGCAGCCTCTGCTAGGCATTATCTGCTTCAACCAATTATAGCAGAGCACGAGACGCTGAAGACCTTGGTTTTGACAGATGCAGATGAGCAGGGAGTGTTGTCTATGAATGAAGAGCAGTTGGAGGAGCTGAGGGTGAAACCTCTATCGGTCTCCTCGGCTTCCAAGAGGACTCTGGTTCCAGCTCTGAACATGCGGTTGTGGTATGCTTCCCATTTGGAATTGCCCAATGGGATGGTACTGAAAGGAGCGACTTTAGTTGCCATCAGGCCTAGTGAGCAGCTGAAGGAGGTGGTGGGCTCGGAAGGGAACTGGATTGTGTCGGCTTTTGAGGAGCCGTTTGGGACAGCTGCGAGGATGTTGGTGAAGAGGAGGACTTATTGTCTGGAAATGAACTCGTTCTGAAAATTGGGATTTGGCAAATGAGTATCTGAGGTACTGCCTTTCATAGTGCTTAGTGTATAATTTTAATTGGTTTATAAATCTATTTATTTGTGTGCTTTCTTGTGTATTTAAAAGCCATCTAGAAACTGTTTGGGATTTCACATTGGAGAGCATAGTTGGTATTATTGCACTTTCCTTTGTTGCATAGATTCTGAGAAGTTGACGTTAGTGTGTCTGGATCATGTGTAAATTGGGTTAAATCCAACAATGTCTACCCAACTTTATACCTAGTGTCGCCACGGTCATCTAATTTTATTTTGTTTCATAATGGCTATCAAACTTTATATTTAGTGTCACCATAGCCACCCTATTTGATTTTATTTCACCATGTCCATCCAATTTCATATAACGTTCACAATGGCTACCGAATTTCATATAGGGTGTGTTTGAACCACATTATTTTGAAAGAATATATTCTGGAGTGGTAGATTGATAGGGAATGTGTGGTTGAAAAAGAAGGAAAAGTTATTGATGTGATGAAAAATATTATTTTATTGAAAAATATGTGGTTAAAATAAGTAGAAGAATGAGAATGAAAAAATAATGTGGATCAAATAGGGGCATAACATTTCACCTCGGTCACCCAATTTTTTTCACCATTCACACTAATTTAAGAGGGGTAAAACGGTAACATTGGATTATATATATAATAAATTTAAATTTTTTTTAAAAAAAAATTTATTTTATTTTAGAAACATTTTTTTTATATAATTTTTTTTAAAGGAACGTTTTTTTAAATAACCTTTTTATTTTATTTTTCTAAGTAACTTTTTTTAAGTTTATTTTTATTTTATATTTTTAAGTAACATTTTTTTAAAAATAAGTTTTTTATTTTGAGTAATTTTTTTTAAAATAAGTTTTTATTATATTTTGTTTTTTAAGCTTTTATTTTAATTATTTGAAATTTATTTTATATATATAATGCAAAGTTACCGCTTATTAAAATTAATGAAAATTATGAAAAGAAGTTACGTGGTCATGGTGAAACGTTATATGAAATTTTATAGCTATGCTGATACATAACTAATGGAAGGTTTAGAATATCCCCATTATCTAAGAAAAGGATTCTATAGCTACAGAAGTAGGAATAAAGGAACCTGAGATAATATTATTTTCATAAAGTAGAGATCCAGAAACGAGTTCACGAATACCATCAATATCTATTGGAGGAGGAGCCCATGATAAAATACTACGTGAAATTTGGTGGTCATGATGAAATAAAATCAAATTTGGTGGTCATGATGGCACTAAATATAAAGTTGGATGGCCATGGTGAAACAAAATCAAATTAGGTGGTCATTGGTGGATTTAACCCTGTGTAAACTTGTTTAGTTAGTTTAGTTTTTATTTATTGCTAAGGGCACGATCTGGACGTCACCTTGCTCACCCTGACGCAAATTTTTTTTCTAAACTTTTCTGATTCTATGATCTACTTTTTATGATGATTGTATGTTTCTTGTCGTTTAGCTTTACTTATGGACTAATGAATTCATTAATTCGGATGTTTTTCCCATTGTATGAACATAGTGTTTTAGTTATATTCATGGTGCTCACTTTTTGCAGTTACAGAAAGCAGCTATTGCATTTCCCCATGTTTCTCTTACTTTATCTGTTCAATAAAAATTCTTTGGTATATATACTTATTATAGCCTTTAAATTTAGTTGCTCTTTATTCTTTTGTGGCTGGTTTAAGGGAAAGTGCTATTCTTTCTTTAATCTAAAAGTTGAAAGAAGATTTCATATTGTTTTGAATATTGAAGTAATTGTTACATAGATGGGTAACTACACAACAAACTGCTGAACTTTATTATCATGATCAGTGTAAGCCATTATTTTAGCTGTATTGACTAAAGATCAAGTTACCAAACATGAATTTTGCGGGCTTTTCTGTTCAGACAATTCTCTTGAAATGTTTGATTACTGGGCATGTTGTATCTCTATTAGGTGCATCCTTTATATAAAGTGCATCTTTTGCGTATATTGTATTGGAAAAAAATGCTTCAAATGGTCGTATCTAATTGTAGAACCAGGGTCAGCGCTTTTTGTTTTGTATTTTTACACATGCTAGCTTTGACACTGCTGGATCCATCTCATGATGCAGTTTATACTAGTATTTCTCAGTCTTTTTTGTTAACCGGAAATTGTTTCATATGGTAGTTCTGAATTCATCTTCTAGTGCTCATAGGTCTTTCAAGGAATGAAGGTTGGCTTTCAAGGAGTAGTATATACATGTTCCGAGAGGCAGAAAAAACGCAAATTTGTCTTGATCATATCATACCATGAATGAGTAACTGAAAGAAGATAATTTTGATTTCTATTATAAATGAAATGCCAGCCATTTGTTCATTATGGGCCATAAACCCGTACACAAGGTTAAAGCTCGAATTGATGGATGCATCTGCTTTTAAGAGTGACCAAAATGCTTCTGGATTATGTTGTAAAAGCCTTGTGCCAACAAGTTTGGCATCTACCTTAGTACGTATCTGTGTATATATTTTAGCTATCGAGATCTTTTCGAATGTTTTGTCCCTTTAAAGTTTCATTGAGCATGGTATCGTGCATTTCAGCTTTGTATTGATGTATTGGCATTGGTTGATCGTGACTTGATGAATATGTGAATATGGCAGACATCTTATTTAAAATGCATTTCTCGACTCTCTCTTTGGGGAGGATTCTGGTAGGTATTTGCCACATGCTTAAAATGAATCCTTTTGAGATTTTTATATGTTTGAGCAGGGTTAACTAGCGTAGATTTTCGTCATTCCAATACTTGGAGCTTATGAAATTGTAGCGTTTTTTACTTACACCTTGAATGGTTAGATCTGGGGATGGCATCATTGGTACTCGAAGCAGAATAAGATTCACCCATAGATGGTATGAACATTGTATGTCAGAAACATGTTCTCAAGACACTGTCCTTGTGACCTTGGTGTACAATGCATATGTTTCTTCATGCCTGACAGTAAACGAAGACGTGCTTTCTCAAGAAAGTTGTGGATTGTTCAAGAGCGGTTCGTACCGAGCAAGACAAGTTTTTGAATATTGAAAAATGGTATGAGTTTCAGTCTCAAGATTTTCCTTCCGTTATCTCCTCATTTCTTCTATGAGATCATCATCATCATGGAAGTCTGCGCAAAAACTGGTGATGGTCATCAGTCTATGAATAGCATGAGGACAATCGGCTAGTGTTATGTTCTGCAGTGTAGTCTGAGACAAGTGCATTGAATTTTACTACTAATGCTCTACGGGTTGATGAAGGATGTAGTTTCCAGGTCCGGAAAAGTTATGAATGTTCACAGTTTCATACCAAGGTTGGCAATCGACTGGAGAGGACTGGATTTGTTTTGGTTTTGTTAAAAGCTCTTGTTCGTAGGAATTAGGGCTTAATCGCACACCAGAATCTCAACGAGTCACCGACAAGGTGGGAGAACACAGTTAGCAGCAAACGAAATCTGTCTCACTATCAAAGCAATATATAAACCGGCAAACAGAGATTCATTTTATCACTTGTGGGATTCTTGGAAGGTTGGTTACATTTGCATCAACCTGAAAGATTTAACACACACTTTAATACTGTTCAATCCTCTCTAAAAAATATGTCAATCATGTACTAGGAAAAAAAAAAGGGTAATCTTCCAAGAAGAAAAAACAAATACAAAGGTAAATGTACTGAAGGAAAGGTGAAAAAACTTAGCCCCTGTTTGGTTTGGCTTAAAATCAAAGTTTTAATAAAAATTGATTAGATATAAGGTTGAAAAATTGATTAAAAAAAATGTGAATCATATCCAGTGTGCTTGAAAATGAGTTTGGAGAAATGAATTTTAAGAAATTAGGGCCTTAAAAAGGAGATTTGGTTTTGTTAATCCAAGTTATTCAGATAGATTTTTTTATTTTTTCAAAGCAATGATAACAAGGAGTTCAAAACACAAACAAATGTTAGGGAAAACCAAAAACTTGCAATCACTACACGTTCTCTCTCAACAAACAAGAACTGGCAACTAATCAACCAATGGAACTTAAATACATGAATGCCAGCAGAATAACTTGAAAATGTGCAATAAAAACACAAAGTCTGCTGCAAAGAAAGCAAGGGACTTGTGGCAACTTCTCATCTCGAGTTACCTGCATCAAACATCGTTTTAAGATTAAATAACTTATTGACAATATTTTATCTTATTTTTCTTTTTTAATACCAATGATAAACAGTGCAATTAAGAAGTTAATCAATGCAGTTAGATTGCAAAGCTTTAACATTAAGAAATTCCCTTGGCCCAAAAAGGAAAGTAAGCAAGAAATATATTACTAAATTTCAACTATATGTTCATAACTACTATCCACACATTACAAGGGACCACTTCTTATAAGTTACCTATAATTTTAGTCACTGTCAAAGACATGTCATTGTATTTCCCTTATTCGGATGAACGCCATCAAACGACAAAGATGAACGTAATAATTGTGCATCCTACATGCTAAAATCAGAAACGGGGAGTCAAGATTCATGCCAGTCCACCCAATTTAATTATAAACACGGATATCTCCAAGATTTAGTGTCCAATTGCTCAATTGAAGAGACGCAATTAAGGCTCCGAATTATGGATATCACTACCTATAAAATTTACTTTTTTTAGGGTGAAATGACTAGTTTTAAAGTAATTTTTATTTTCGAATATGTTCACATATATTACTTTCTTTCTCTTTTTTTTCCGAGTGGGAAATGAAGGGGAGGACGTATCAGTATCAATATCTGAATCCTCGACCTTAGTATTAATTATTTTTAAAATAAACTACTTATTGACCAATGAAAATATAATATATTTTTCTCATAAGCTTAGCCAAAACATGCTATGACACTCAAACCCTAAAAGCTGCTTAGACCCGTCCATTGCCAGGTGTTAAGCTTAGGCACAGTTTTCCTATTACTAACCTATCTAATGGGAGCAGATACCAATATCTAGGGC